TGACCTATGCTATCAGAAGTTAAGCTTTCAAGTGGACATTTCAGCAGCAACTAAACCGCTACCTACCACTAACAAATACCAAAGAATTGTTTCACTTGATTGAGCGGATGAATAGATATATGAATATGGTCCTAATAACATAAGCATCCGTCTTCCGCCCTTATCTTTCAAACTCCTTTCCGTGTTGTTTAATACTTCACCTGTACTTCACAATTCTTTATCACTTCGACGAGTTCACATTCAGTTTGAAGAAAGCACAAAAATCGTTCCTTTTCAAGTAGGCAAATCGCTTTATCGTTGTAACAGACAGTACGCGGCTAGATCAGTCCCTTCTTCCCCGAGTTATAAACATACCAGAATGAGACATACCTCGCTGTCTATAAAATTTGCATTTGTCGTTGCATGCGTCGCCGCTGTTTTTTTAATCATGCATTACAATGAACAATGATTTATGCTGGGTAAAAAAGCAGTTGCTTGACTAGTCCCTCAGGATGGTGGGGGCAAAACTACACTATCAAAAGATATGTCAGTTGAGCGTTTGTCCAGCAGATACGCCGTTGAATAATAGTAGCATAAGTGGGAATTGTATATAAACGACGCAACAACATGGGGACGGTTATATTTGATGTACTCCGTGAGAAAAGTGGAAACGAAAATACTCACTTCTATACCACCTCCTCAGGTTTATGTGACGTGTTAATCCGGTTTGGAGGGATAAATAATAGATTCTAAAGTAACACAGGTTAGGCAAGAAAGTGTTGGAGGTCAATCGTTTTTTTTAGAAATTTCCAAGGTGGGGGAGGAAACAGCTAAGTTTGGGAGAGAGTTCTAGGGTTTGCAACATCGAAGCCAAAAATAATTCCGTCGACATTCCAGGCGGATATACTGTTCACTCAATTTCAGAGTGTTATCTTTGAAATTGGTGTTATGGCTGAGTTCCAACAAGTGACGGTATACGTGATTAGGGTCCTTCAATATTTGGCAGACTAATATGACATCGTCGTGCAGCCTTCGGTAGCAACCACTGTAACGTCTCAGTGACTAGCTTTTGATGGTAGGACAGATTTCGTACACTCTCGATGTTCTTTGTGGCTTTGCGTTGTGGTTTCTCTAGTCGCGCTTCCACCAAGGTTGCGAAGTTTGGATGGCGTATTCAACATGAAGGCGCACCATGGGGAAAATGGATGCGTCGAACCCTACGAATGCTCAACGCAGCAGACCGACATGCTGTTTGGCTCTTTTCGCAGATGCCTCTGACTGTTTTGAACGGCTAAGCTCACTGTGAATCAGCATACCAAGGTCGCGTTTCTAGGAAGTTGCTTGCAGTACATGTGATCCAAGCCCATACACGTAGTCATGTCTATGGCGCAATTGAACAGCGTGACGTATTTCCACATTAAACGGTAGTGTATTCTGAACTGACCGGTTGGAAATCGTGTTGTGGTCAAGCTTGAGCTTTTCGTGGTCGTTCGATTCTCTGATCGCTCACCATAACTTGATATCATCCGCGAAGAGTAGGAAATCGGAAGTAATTTCCCCGCCAGATCGTGTATGAAATTCAAATACGACGGGGCCAGAGCACCGAGTCTTGTTGTACACCGCACTCCCTCTCAAATGCGTCTGACACGGGTTATCGTACTCTCATTTCCAACCGACGTTCGTGCAGGAAGCTGCCCATCCAACGTAGCAGTGGGTCACGAATGCCATACAGCTGTAGTTTATGGAGGAAAATTCGGTTGTCTAAGCGATCAAATGCTTTTGAGAAGTCCAGATAAATGACATCGACTCCTGCTCCACCATCAAATGCATCAGTCTAGCTATTGCTTGCAGTTAACATGTTCGTAGTGCCTGACCGCTTTTGTAAGAAGCGATATTGCTCTGGTGTTATCCTATTGTGGTTTTCCACATACTACATGAGTGCATCAGCGGTGATAGACTCCATAACCTTGGAAAGTACAGCGACTGGCGTTATCGGATGGTAATTGGTTGGGTTATTTCGACTACCTCCCTTATGAATGGGAGTGATGATCCCTCACTTCCATATTGCTGGAATATGGTTTTCCTCCATACATCGCTAATAGAATAAAGCCAGAGGTCCCACCAGATCACTGGCTGATGCCTGTAAATCCTTCTGTCGAATGTTAATGGGAAGCTGTGGATACACAGGGACAGCAGTTTCTGCAGTAACAGTGATATTGGACAAAGCTGACGGTGGGACAATAGAAACAAGGATAACCGTTGGGCCTGTTACTCCTCTCTGGAGCGTATGTGAGTAATGGAGCCGTAAGAGAATGGTTGCTTCCGTTGCTGATCGCGTTCACCTGTCAGTGCTGGAATTCCGCGTTGCACCTTACGAAGGCCATTAACATGCCTGTATAAGAGTTTGCGGTTCGTGCAAACTCGCTTCATCAACTGCTGATACGTCACCTTGCCCTCGTGGATCAAGCTCACATGGAAGTTACGCAGTGCCAGGTAGGCAGTCCGGGTCTCGGAATACGGGGTCCCAATGAGCTCTCCCTCAAGGACGTGCATTTGCATGTTCTCCTCCTCAGAAATGACTTGCTTCTTTCATGATGGGTGAATTTTTGCTCAGACTCGTGCGCTACCAGTGTGTAAATGTCTTTGTGAAATTGTCCTAGGCCATTTCTGGGGATCATTCAGTTAAGAAAGTCCAAGATGCTCCCTTAACAAGCGCGGATAACACGTATTAGTGCGTGACCATGTATAGTTTATCATCCTCTTCGCAGGGTATTTCGCATAACATACGTGGATAAACAGTAGAGTGACATGGCCACTGCGACCCAGTGGTGTTCTTGTAATTATTCCGTCGACCATGAGTCGTCGGTGAACACAAGATCAGGTATCGGCGGCTTGTTAGCGGTTCGAAATCTGGTGGGAGAGGTCACGTGGGTGTACAGAGGGTAGCTGGAAATTACCTATTGTAAACAGGCTTCAAACTGCATGCTATTTCCAGGTCGTGTACATTAAAGTCGCCTGCGATGAGAATGTGACTGTATGTCTTGTTCAAAGCAACTTGAAGAGCGTGGTTTAGTTTGGAGTCCATTTCATACGTAGAGTTTGGTGGACGGTACCTCACAGCTATAAGACATGTGTCTTTGTTCCGCGACCATAGCCGGAACCAAAGCGAATCTGGGGCATGGATCTCTGGGTGGTCAGTAAGCTCGCATCGGAGAGTAGCCTTTTAATAAAGAAATACGCCACCACCTCTTCCAGCTCTGTCATTCCGAAACAGTGATATACCGAGTATATTGACTTCAGAATCTGCTATCTCAAAGCTTAACCAGGTCTCCGTAATCATAATGAGATCCCGCGGTGGTGACACTTGGCGTTCTGTAAGTTCCGCCAACTTACTAAGAAGACCTTGGGCGTTAGTATAATAACATGATAGTGATGTTGATGTTGGAAGTGGGCAGATGGACAACAAAACCGTGTTTTGTTTTAAGCCGATCGTTCATCGGTCGGCCGCTAATCGTTTTTTGCGTGCGTCATTGGTTCTTGAATTTCAGGCAGGCTGCATGGTAGCGCGGAGCATCCCAGATCGAGATGTTCTTTCGTGGGTATTCCTGTCTCGTCAGGTGTCGCCAATGCTATATTGTCAACAAATTTACCGGATTGTGGAAGCAAATATTTTATCGAGACTGCATGTTTCAATGAAGTGCTGACAAATATTGGCCGTGCGCCTGCTATTTTCAGCCTAATCTCGGTAGGTAATCTGGGACGATGCCTCAACCAGCAATCCATTAGGACTTCGAACATTCCTTTGGAGTGTAGCACGACTTTCAATATTTGAACCTCCGCCCTTGTGGTTTGGAGATAAGGGAATTCTCTTTAGTGGTTTAGTGCTAACGTCATCTAAAAGAGTGCTTAGTGGATGTAGCACCAATGCTCCCGATCATGTTTTTGCGCTTCGTGGTAAGCAGAACCCGGAACTTCAGGAACACAATGAACAAATACGGTTTAATTGCTTTCGTTTGTAGGATGACTGCAATGGTCTTTCCTTTGACTGCTTTTTTTATGAATAGCTGGTAGTATGAGTAACCCGCTCGATGAGTTGCGAAGACGAACTGCTGAGAGTAGGGTTGTCTCTGTCTCCTCAGTTGAGTTCAATGTTACTCGAAGAAATCGTAGTTCGCCGTAGTGCACCGAAGTTGGGTGACGCGCTACGCGTCTTAGCATAGTGGCCTGAACCTGAATACTAATCGCATCGCAGATGGAATTCCAGTAGCTGCGATTATTTACCAACTTGCGCTTTATTGTGCTAGATCTGGACTCCGGAACGTTAGTGCACTCGACCGTTAACGTACTATGATTCTGAGTTCAGAGAGGTTTGGAAACGATCGGTTTGGTATAGTAGTTTGGTAACGTTTCGCCTTTGACACAAAGGCTTCGTCAGACCAGGTGAATCAGTGTGCGATTGGTGTGGGATTTTATAGCGAACAGGGGCGATAACCTCGCTACCCGAGTCTTGAGCCATGAGTCATTACAGTAACAGTTCGGGATGTCAACTCAGGTGGTTCGATCACAGTGAGAATAGTCCAGGTGTTCCTCTGTGCGTCATGACATTGACGGATAAGCCCATTGTGTTGACAATGGATCAGATTGGAAAGTGTAAACCGACTCCCATTGTCAACACAATGGGCTTATCCGTCAATGTCATGGCGTACAAAGGAACACAGACCTACCGTAGATAAACTTGCAATGCAGACTGGTGTACAATAAGTTTGACTTACATAGTCGAAAATGGCGATGAGGAAAAGTTGTCGAAAAACACCGTGATCCCCACCAAGTTGTTCACCAGAGGCGACGGCGCAACAACCTGGCCGGGTAAACAAACTGACTACTTCAGTTCCTCGCGTGGTAATACTTGGTAGCATGTCGGCCTACTCTTGAAACCCAGAAAGTTTCAGTTGCACTCGTAAAAACGTTTGCCAACGTGTAAAATGTTGTGCTTCAGCTTACTCAAGTGAAAATCATACATTCTATTTTCTAGAAATATATCTGACTAACACAGTGGTGAAGACTTGCACAATACTGCATAAAATGGCTAGGAAGCAAGTCCAATTTGCACTCCCGACTAATGATGAAAGCACTGGTCGGTGGAAGGCGCATGCAACGGAAGCCGTGGGGCCAGTGAGCGCGTGCCTCCTTTGAATTCCAAGCACTTGTGACACCGCTACGGTTGATAAGTTTGAGTATCGATTGCATGCAGAGTCACTGAACCCGATCTAGACAAAAAGGAGAGGTGAGAACTGTGCTTCCACAGTGCATGGAAAAATTGGAAGTACGGAGACATTACAAATGCGCGCGCACAACACAAGTAAACTAAACGTAATGGACGGGATGCAGTTAAGCAGGCAAAAATCCGGTGTGCAGCACTCGATGCAACTCCTTTGATGAGCTTTTAGCTAACTGATGAACGATGGTGAGGTTAGGTGAGCTCAAAATGGGGGACAGACGAGTCCAACGGGGGCATATCAGCGTAAATGCACCGATTACGCTTAAACTCAAAGCTATGAGGAGGTAAGATGGGGTAACGGATAAACTCCCGAGCTAATCGAATTGTGTGTTTAAGTATTAAGAATCGCATAGCTCAGCCGGTCAGCTGCCTCATCATCGTCTGCTGGACAGACAAGAACGAATTTAGATGCCCACATCGCGGTACTGCGTATCGAGGACGTCTAGCATAAACAGACAGGTGCATGGGAAGAACATGACATCACAACCGAACCCAGTGTGAGTATAGGAAACTATATGTTCCAACTTCTGTTATGAAGCCACGACTAGTGGACACCAACATTGTCAAGCAGGTGGCATCATGGGATAGGAATAAGGTCTCACAAGCAATGGAGTATATGCAGTTAACAATAAGTGCGGAATGTACATTTCTCTGAACCACATAGTAACACTGGAAATGCAGTAGTTGTACATTTTACAACGATCCGACTACATGAAACACTAATAATGTTTTGGAAATCAACGTATCATGTTCCGTAGTATGTGTGTGAACAGAGAGGGATTCACCGATGATGTCGGTACTACAATTCGATGAGAAACTCGGATAAACAGCGGGTTCTGCTGTACGAAAAGGTAGAACGTCAACCTAGTTATCAGCGATCCACCTAAAACCGTCCTTGTACAACCGATTCAACGATGACAGCAACAAAAATCTACATAGATAAAAACATCAGTGTGAGGAAGTATATATATATATATATATATATATATATATATATATATATATATATATATATATATATATATATATATATATATATATATATATATATATATATATATATATATATATATATATATATATATATATATATATATATATATATATATACTTTCTTACACTGAAGGCAAATACAAACACGCTGTATTTGGGAATCAAGCGCACACAAGACGGTGGCTGGACCGTAGTCCGCTCCACACTGAGTGCATGGAACCACTTTTTGATCCTAGCACGGCCACAAGGACCGTGCACTCCGTCCCCTCCAGCAACGACCAACTGTCTTCTGGAGCCAGGACGGACGAGGTAGTGGGTAACAGACAGGTAGGCACCTTGTCAACATGCACATCAAGCGCAGTCACACCTGGGATGTCAAACAACAACCAATCATTTGAAGCGACGATATCCAGTAAAATAAAGCGAATAATGGATACAGGTACGAAGACATAACTTTTCAATAAATGAGCGTATGAAACAAATTGGTAGCAAAAAATCCCCGAAAGGTTCAATACGTCAGAAAATATATCATTAAAAAAATTCCACAACCGCGAACATTTTATGGAAATTAACTACAATTAGCTTAAGCGAAGTGCGCAACTTTATAGAAAATAGTTTAGGTGGACAATTATATGAGAGAAAAAAGCATTAGGACAATATAGCAAGCCCACCAGCTGAAACAAAGAGATTAAGCATGCAAGCACACGGTTAGTAAATCGAATGCAGCGTACATAAAAACGCTCGCCGGTTCTGCCTACGTTCTCTGCAGGACCTGTCGTTGCTTCGGTGGTGGCCCCGAGTGGCCTCACTCATGGCTCACTACGCCTGCCTGACTCAGGCACTCGCGACCGCATTTCCTATAGCACCATGCGCACATGCGTTGGAGTACAACCCATCGGCGCCTGTCGCTTCCGCAATTGCCGCTTCTTCTCTGCATGCACGAGGGCTTTCTCTTGCACCTCGGCAACCGCCTTCGTGATCAGATCGCGCTATGCACGCCGATCAAATGCCTTTCATTCCCATGACCTGAAATCAAGATTAGAAGGTGATAGGCTCATTTTGGTCATGTCCTGGTAAGGTAACTTCGGATCTCCCACATGCCGCTTCCCACTATTCAGCTGACCAGATAATAGTTGCTTCGGTATCCGCGTCGAACCGAGCTACCTCAGGTGTCTCAACAAAAGTATACAGTCCACTGCATACATTCCACTTCGGCGCAACACTTCCGTGCCTTCAACTCTCTCGTACCAGTCCATGCGCAGAATCCGTCGTAAACATTGTTGATGGAACAGCTCGAGATATCGCACATCTCGCCGGTACATCGTCCACGCTTCGCTGCCGTATAGAATAACGGACAGCACCATGGATTTGTACACCATCAGCTTCGTGCCAACGGTAAGTTGCTGGTTGTCCAACACTTGGTATTCTAGCTTCACGAATGCCGCCGCTTCCTTAAAGACGCGAATACGAAGCTCAATTTGAAGCTGCTGGTCAGTCGACATCACACTCCCAAGGTAGCAGAAGTGAGAGGTGGTTTCTAATATTTCAGCACCAATGCTGGTTCGCGGCAAGATTGAAGATTGCACCTCCGGCAAAGGCTGAAAGAGACGGACACTTTTGCTTGCGTTGATGGGGAGAACGAATTTGGCCGCTGTCGGTACCAGTGCACCAGTCATGAGTTGCAACTCATCCGCGTTGTGTGCAAACAACGTACAGTCGTCAGCAACATACGGATAGTTGTCTCACAGACTGGGGTCCTCGCCCCGAAACGATGGATGTTCAGCAACCCACCATCAACACAGTGCTCCACACGAACACCGTAAGCACAAGCGGCATCAAAAGCACAAGATATTGCATGAAGATACATATTAGACTGGGCAGGAGCTAACACACAGCCTTGCTTCACATCAAAGACAACTGCAAAGTCATCCGAGGTTTATCCACACACCTGCACTCTCGCCCGCACGCCACTGTGCAGACATTCAATCAAATTTACAAACTCATCCAGACAACCAAACTTACCCAACACCAGCCACAATGCCTCGCGGTTCACCATATCAAGTGCCTTGGTAAAGTCAACAAAAAGCGAGTACAATGGCTGGTGTCGTTCTCTGCACTTCTCCTGCAACTGACGAGCCACAAATACCATGTCGAGAATGCTGCGACCCAAACGGAATCCACACTGCTCTTCCGCCACGTTCCGTTCCACAACCTGACTGGCGAGGCGGTTGAGCAGGATTCGAACAAGCACCTTGGCCACAAAACTCAGCAAGTTGATGTCACGATAACTCGTGCAACATTAATTGTTCCCTTTGCCATTGTACTGCACAAGGGCATCCTTCAGCTCAGGAGGCACCTCCTCCTCAATCCACATGCTTTGCACCTAGTGGTGTAGGGCAGTCACCAACGCGGGTCTGCCGTGTTTCCATGCCTCAGGCCGGATCCCGTCGGCATGAGCACACTTGCCGTTTCGCCTCTGAACAAGCGCTCTCTGCGTCTCATCCAGTGTCGGTGTGTCCGCCAGACTCGCCTTCATATCGTGCTGCTTCAGGCCGTTCAGTGTAGGCCAGTCGATCTTTAAACGGTCATCCAAGAGATAATCAAAGTGTTTTTGCCAGATCTGCATTATGTCTACAGTCTGTGCATATAGCGTCTGAGCTACCATTGATCATGGTCCTCGGTGACTCCAACCTCGGTCAATACACCGTCCTCGAAGGGTCAGGGAATTCTTTGTGTTGGCGGAGTTTCGCGTATCATTCCATCTGCTTCGCCTTTTCCGTCCACTCTCGAAGATGAGAAGGACCGAATTGTGAAAACACTTCTTGCGAATGGATACCCAGAGCCTTTCATCAAAAAGCACGCCATGACCCGTGAGCGCGAGAAGCCCGTAGCAACGGTCCCGAAGAAGGATGTGTTTCTCACTGTTCCTTTTAAGGGAGATATCGCCTTCCATCTCCTGAACAGAAGACTTTCTAATGCCGTAGCAAGAACCTACCCGGCCGCCCAACTGCACATAGTTGCAGAGACCGCTCCCTTCATAGCTCAATGTCTTAAAGACAGACTGCCAGTGTCGTCCGAATCGTACATTGTTTACCAGTTTACTTGCACCTGTGGGCAAAGTACCTCGGGCATACGACCAGGCGTCTGTCGGTACGAATGGCTGAACATTGTCCAGGGTCATTGCGGAGAGGCATGCACAGTAGTATAAATAGCTCGATTATGGAACATCTGATTCTTAGTGGGCATCAGATTTTGACAAAAGATGCTTTCAAAGTCTATTACGCCGTACCGAGGCGATACCCGAAAGGGCTAAGGAAACGCCTCCTGCAGACAACTGAAGCCATCGCGATCCGGCTAACACAACCAGAGCTATGCAAGCATAGGGTGCTTGTGCAACCCTTGACTTTGCCATGGCCCTGATGATAAGGTTCCCCGGAGTATCTCGCTTAACCGGGTGCTATTTATTTGCGTAATTAACTAATTTTATTTGGTTAGTAATTTTACATTTTCTGTTTACACAAGTTATTTAGCTGTCGGTTAGCCCGATTACGATGTCATCTGATTAAATCGATTCGAGCATCAAATGAACTTGCTAAAACTGTTCAAATCGTCGCATCCGTCCTCATTATTGCTTGCACCAGTTTACTAATGTATTTTCAGTCCTGTAGTTGTATTTGGCTGATGTGAATGAAATTTATCCAGATTAAAAAGATATAGTTTAAGTTGCTTTAGCCTAACTGCGGTGATGAAGCATCATGAATGCCATACGGGCAGTCTGAGGATACAGTTCCAGCGGGATCCCTATTTGCTGCATCAATGTGCGCCTGAAGGAAATCCGACGCGTTCTCTCAAAGTTGAAACTGATGAAACTGCACTTGCACTTAGCGTCACACTTGTTTCTCTGTCCTTTTTGTCGTGCCGCATGTGAAGTGGAGACTCGACTGCAAACTGCACCGGTTGACGGCCACTCTGGCGTGGAGACTCAGCCGACCTCAT